TTATGAATAGTTTGTACATTGGATACTACTTTGGATACTACATTAGATGTTACATTGGATGCCCATATTGTGAATAACTTAAAGATTAAATTTCTTACTTTATGTCCATCATCTTTACTTTTTATGCCTATAAAAGGCCATGTAATTGCAATGAAAAAATACACATGAAAGAAGAAAACACTTCTCCCTTCTTTCTATCTCTTCTTATTTACATTTTACTGCATTACTTTTATTTTATTGTAGCAAGAAAATTATTAGATTTCCCTAATTTTGTTCTCCAAATGACATGAATATTTCTTAATTCGCCAATTGCTTAGACTGGCTTCACTTCTGCTCTATATTCATTTGAAAGAAGTTGACTTTAAATGAGAAAAATGGCTCTTCTACAGTCCTACTTGTGTGTGTGAAATGTGAACCAAGCAATGGACTTTGACCTTTTTTCAGTCATCTTCCAGTAGATACGCTGGCGCCAAAGTTTTCGGCGAAGTATTTTATTTTTTTAACAAGTAATTAATATATTTATGGTAAAACTAAATACACAGCAATATAATTAAGCGAAAAAGAAGACTCATAAATCCAAGCAAAGGCATGTATGAGGACTCGAACTAATAAAAGTACAAAATTAAGCTGAAAGCTACAAAATTACAAATCGAATTAGAATTCATGAGAAAATTGTTGTTTACCCGCAAAAAATTACAGGTGTAAACGTGGTTTATAGATACGTAAATTAGATTGACCTACTTTAGTAAAGCAACAAAGTATAAAGAAAATAAAATAAATATGGTTGTTTACCCTAAAAATCGGATAACAATTAAATATATAATGTGATTTTAAGGATATGCGATTTCACCTAATAATAATTAATAAATGTAAAGATAAGAGATGAAAATTGAAAATGATATAAAGCAAATCAGTGTTTGGATAGAGCCCTCGAGCTTGAATACCCTCGAGCTAGTTATGCAAGAACAGTTAAATGCAACAAGCTGACAAACAAGAAATGTGAATTAAAGAGAGAATATTATATTGCTTTAATCTGAGTGAATGTAAGGTGTCTACAAATGATGGAGATTCTTTTTTATATAGTAGAGGAGTCCTAATTATGGTATAACTCTAATTACAGAAGTAAATCCCATGATTGGCCTAAACAACCGCCCTTGATCTGATCTGTTCCGGGATTTCCGCCGTGATCTTCGATCGGTTACAGATATCTTGCCTTTTCGTTATTGCGCTTCGTTCGAAGTCTGTCATATATGGTTTCTATCGTTGTTGGCCTCGATCTCGACGAGCACTTCGATTCTCAGGCTCGATACCTTATCTTCGTGCTCTGACATGATTCACTACCACGTGTTTTCTTGAGAAACGTACACCTGTAAACTGTAACTTTTACCTAATTCAAATAGTCCCCCTACATTCTGGTGACTCAACTTGATATGAGCGTTAGTAGATAAGACATTCTTTTTTCTCGGCAGGATAGTTCTTGGACGGTTTCTGACACTTGAAAGAACGCACGTCTCTTTGCATTTAATGAGCCGAACACGTGTTGCCCCCTGATTCGGCGAACAGTTTCTCAAGTTACCTAGGTAATAATGGTTTCATGCTGAATCACCTATAAACTTTCCCCCTTCTCACCAATTGCATCTTCCACTTTTTTCACATCTCTGCATCGAGTCTCTTAGAGCTTCTGTGCAATTCTTTTTTCTCAACAAAACCTACAAATTCGAATATAAAATTTCACTTCCTTAATTATCTGTTATTGTCACACCTCCTTTTTACCCGAGGGGGATATAAGGGAGTTTTTCCAATTAAAGTGACATAAATCGAAATGGGAATATTTATTTATTCAGAGTCGCCACTTGAAATAATTAATGGTGTCCCAAGTCATCAGTTTATTTTAAAATCCCAAATCAAGGAAATTAACTCTATTTTTACGGTCTGCGAACACAGAAGACCGGGTAAGGAATTTTGTTAACCCGGGAGAAGGTGTGAGGCAATCCCGAGTTCTGTGGTTTTAGCACGGTCACTCAATTATTAATAATTGACATAATTATCTGATTTATTATGTATTTAAAATCTATTATGCATGTTTAACTTTCTAGCCGCTTTTAATTATTTAAAATCGCTTTTTAGGATTTAAGAAATTATTTCTTGAACAAGTTATGATTGTCGTACACTTGCCGTTTTTTAATACACCGTAAACCACGATACATGAAATGCACCCGCGATTCGCGACATGTTTATTTATTATTATTATTATTATTCAAAGTTTTTGGGGTCGGGTCACATGAAATGCACACCCGAATTTGAAAATTAATCATTGTAACTATGTCACGGGAACCGTACCCATAATCATGATGGTTTATTAATCGCGTCTAAAGCAACACTACGAGGTTCATAAGTGTTTTCTATATTAGTTTTGTATTTATGTGAGGGCCATAGATTATAGGATTCGTTCATAAGTGTTTTCTATATTAGTTTTGTATTTATGTGAGGGCCATAGATTATAGGATTCATTTGTGGATGGCATGCCTCAATTTATTTTAAAAGGTTTGTATTCAACTAAAGCGAACTAAGGATGTTCATGATTATTTCTTTCTATGTTTGGGATTTTCCATACAATTTCCCCTTTTAATCACTAGTAGTAGCCTCTCAAATACAAAAATGGTCTACTGAAAGTGCTCAATACGAAATAACAACTTTGCTTCGTTCCTTGACCCAAACTATCAAAATTTAATGCGAAATTAGAAAGGGGAGATGCTGCATTCTTTTGGGGAAATCAGTATTCTAATTTAGACAAAACAAATTGCTCTCCTTCCTACAAAGAAAGCCAAAGACAGAAGGGACAAAGGACTGATGAATGGTGCACATTTCGTGAAATTTAAGGACCGCTACCTACAATTCCTCCACCTAACACAAACAACATATTGCTTCATACAACCTTAATATCAATTCCATTTAACATGATTATAAAAAAAATCAGTAACTACTTTTAATACTTATAATAACCAAGTATTTTCAACAACTTAAATGGGGTCTTGAAATTACAATGATACTAACTAATGAATTATAAACTAAAACCAACGGCCTTACATGCTTATCTACCATACATGACTTAGCCGACATTCAGGAAGAAAAGAAAATTTGTTCAATGGAAGTTTAAACAAATTATTACATAGGAATAAAAGATAACATGTGAGGAAAATCATTTATGAGCAATAATTAAATTGACAAAGTTAAAACCCACTATTCAAATCATCTGCACCTTTTAGAGAGCAGTTCACAAAACATACATCATGAACCACACATAGACACATCTGAATTTCATAGAAGAATAAAGAAGATGGATTAACATAAAAATCCTACAAGTTCATAGAGGTATGTTTCTAAATTCTTGGGCAACAGTACTCCAAAAAAGAAACCAAATGAAAGCAAGAATTGAGGATGGAGATCAGCAGAAACAGCACAACAAACAACAGTCCTATGGCTCGAAATCCTTTGAAACCCCAAATACAATCAACCAAGCATGCTGAAATTTCAAACAGCTTTGTCTTTTCCCCTTTTCTTGTTTTTCTCTTTTGATAGCAAAGACGGGATACGAGTGAGAATTCATATAATGATGAATCCTAAAGTACTCGGAATTAAAGAAAAATTTCGGGGTTGGAAGAAATATGGATGATTTTATACATAAGATTTTTTGGTGTGAGAGTTTCTCGATTTGCCTAGAAAGAATTAGGCAGAAGTGCCAATGCCACAAAAGGACGAGGCTACTTTTTTTCTTTTCCCAATTTGTGTTGTTTTTTCTTAGGAAGGGAAGGGAAGGTCTGATTTCTGTGTGTGAAGGTGAGAACCAAGAAGAAAATGGGAGGGGAGGTCTCTGATCGTTTTCTTGGAGTAAACGGCGCTCCTCTAAGGTAAGGTCTAATGATTTTTTTTAGGTCTAGATCCGTAGGTTTTAATGAGAAGGGGGTTTTGGGCTGGTTCGGGTCGCGGGCTGGGGGTGGAGTTTGGTTTGGGCTCGTTGATTAAAAATCAATTGGACCATTTAGGAATTAGCCCAATTTAAAAACAAGACCAAATCAAAACCCTTTCTTTCTCTTCCTTGATTTTTGCAATGTTAGCCATGTTAGACTCTAATTTACTTTAATCTAATTTTTATATAGCTAGCCTATTCATTTATTTTGCCTAATGATGAATTAATGTAACTAATTAATTAATTAACCTAAGAATGCAATTTTTGATTTTATTTATTTAAATGATGCACTTATCAATGTAATTAATTCCTAAATGCAAATTAAACCTAAGATGACATGAAATCAAAATGTGATAATTTTTTTATAATTTTTCTATAATTTTTTAAAATATTAAAAATGCATGAAATGCAACTAAATAAAGAAAAACTCCTAAAAATTAATTAAAATTATTTTTGGTCTATTTTTAGGAGATATTTTCATGTAGGGCAAAAATTAGGTGTTCACAGCTGCCCCTCTTTGCTCGGAAACATGAAGAGTTTTCGGGCAAAGATAAAGTGAGAAATTACGAGCAATTTTTGCCTGTTTGAAACTCCATTAGCATTTTGAAAAAGTTTGACCGAACCTTGCTTCAGAGGTTGTCTACATATCCTTGGCTATAAAGAAATCAGGTCGGTGTAGTTCTGAAGTTCTGGTAGCTGGGACTACCGAGAAACTATTATTTCACTGCTGTTACTGCTGTTTCTGCTTGTTGAGCTCCTTATTACACCAAAAGGAAAGATGAAAAGCTAAACTAGCTAAGCCTATCAACCACGAGTTACAAGATTCATATCTATAAACCTTCTAAAGCTTGATCTTCAGTCTTGAATGGTTCTTCCTGTAGACTCTGATCTGAATCTTGATGCTTGTTAGTTGCAACCGCTGGTTCATTCTTCTTCAGCTTTTCGGATCAAGGCGGGACAATGCGAAACTTGTGACTTCAATCTTATCTTGGGCAATCTGCATCTTTTCTCCGCTTCTACACTTAGAGTTCAACTTCTTTTCTTTTATTTGGGTTGAGACTTCTTCTTTTGGTCATTTCAAACCTTGTGCCTCATGGTGAAAACCTGTTCAAGTACCAAAGCAAACAAACGAACGAAATTTTCTGCCCCAGTTATCACTAGGAAAATTTCGAGAGTTATTTGTAAATAAATCTAAACTATTTCTTTATTGAAAGCAATAAAATCAGGATTGTGTATCCTTGGGAAAAGAGATTAGGGAGTTGAGCCCTATATCTATAATGAAATCAACCAGGGAGTGGAGACCCTATGTTGGAAAAGAGACTAGGGAGTGGAGACCCTATGTTGGAAAAAAGACTAGGGAGTGGAGACCCTACGTTGGAAAAGTGACTAGGGAGTGGAGACCCTATGTATAAAATAAATTCAACTAGGGAGTGGAGACCCTATGTTGGAAAAGTGATTAGGGAGTGGAGACCCTATGTCTAAAATAAATTCAACTAGGAAGTGGAGGCCCTGTGTTGGAAAAGCGACTAGGGATTGGAAACCCTATGTCTAAAATAACTTCAACTAGGGAGTGGAGACCCTATGTTAGAAAAGCGANGGAGTGGAGACCCTATGTCTAAAATAAAATCAACTAGGGAGTGGAGACCCTATGTTGAAAAAGTGACTAGGGAGTGGAGACCCTAGGCTACCATGTTTTTGAATTTTATTCTATCTTTTGTTTTTGAACAAATGAGTAAGAATGCAGGAAAGAATTTAGAAGAGACTTCCTTTTGGATTGATTATTGCTTCAAAACTGTTTCTAGCCCTTGCGCAGTTTCTTTTGGTGGCACCTGCTTCTTGCAAGGTTGCTTTGGATTGCACATGTTTCATGTTTTCAAACAAAGAACAATTGTTATTTTGAAATAGTGGTTGGTTTTGTGGCTTTGATTGTTTCAATCACTTGATCTCGGCCCGGCTTCTTTGATGAAGATCTCAATTGCAACGGCTCGTTTCCTGGGGACCGATTTCATTTCAGGCCCTGAGAACCTCTGGGTTTTTTTTTTAGATTTTGCCATGACGGTTGGTCGGTAGAACTCAACCTTTTCGACTTTATTTTGCCTTCGTAGGCCTTTTACTTTTGACTTGTTGTTTTTCTTTTTCTTTTTTTTTTCTTTTTTTTTCTTTTTTGTTTTTAACCATTCGGAGCATTGGGGAACTTTTGGCTCCTCAAACTTGCTGCAATGGCTAATCGTGTGGGACTTAACCTTTTCCAACTTTTTTTCGCCTTTATAGGCATTTCATTTCTGGTTTCTTTCTTCCAACTTCAATTTCAGAGCATTTGGGGTACCTTGGCTTTTCAAATTTTTGTCGAGACGGTTAGCCACGTGAGACTTAACCTTTTCCAACTTTATTTTGCCTTTGTGGGCATTTGACTTTGATTTCCTTTCTTTTCAGAAATTTCTTTTTATTTCAAAGCATCGACCATCATGGCCAGTCGAGGTCGACTCGATGCACCTACCGAGGCTGGGTATCTTCTTGAATATTGGCTCGTATCAAACAAAAGCCCAGTAAATCAATCTTGTCATCCTTTCTTTGTCTTTATTTCGGAATAGAGTTAGACCGAAAGGGATTCAAAGAAAAACAAACAATGAAATGAACAATGAATTTAGACGAGAGGTATCCCTTTTGAGGAGAAGAAAGAATGACTTATCTGGAGTGCATGTGGACTTCAATGAACTTGACATGCCTTTTGGACTGGATGTCTGATCTGTGTAAACCATTTGACTCTTAGAAATTCATCACAACTTTTGCCTCAAAATCGAGAGACCTTGCCAAGACTCTGTCGATGCCGATGGCTGTGAGGATCTTCTTTTCGATCAGGGGCGCCCTTTGCGGGTTTTTACTAGCTGACCACTCCCATTTCTCTTCTCACTATCGTCTTATAGTGCTCTTTGTGAGTTTTCACTAACAAGACTCTCTCATTTCTAGTTTCTCTGCTTACTGTCGCCTCACGGTGCCTGTGTGGGTTTTCACCAATAAGACTCTCTCATTTCATTTCTCTCATTTTGTTGTATCGGATCCAACTAACTGTATCCTCCTATTTTGAACGATCGGAAGGACTTGAACAGGATTTGGGGTAAAAAGAATTTGGATTGAATTATAACTTTGGAACCTTTCAGGCGAAAACATCGCCGAACAATTATAACATCTGCCCGAGTTTCACTTTTTTTTGGGGGGGGAGGGGATTTGGATTTTTATTTTGGTATGACTGAACCCCAGAGAGATGTTGCCTACGTATCCTTTCAGAATCAAGTCGAACGTAGTTCAGGGAACTTTGTTTTAGATTTTTCTTTTGTTTTTCTTCTGTTTTGTTTTGTTTTCTCTTTAATTTTTCCTTTCCTTTTCCCTTTTTTCATTTTTCATTTCGTTTTCTTTTCGCCCTTTTTTTTTTGTATTTTCCTTCTTCTTCTTTTTTTTTATTCATTTTTTTATCATTCATTTCATTTTTCTCAATAATAACTTCCAAGCTCCAAAGAGGGTAATCAAAGAATAGGAGCCGGCTCAAAGAGTTTGCAAAGGGTTGATAGTGTTTGGGTAGCGAGAATAAAAGCCTTTTTCATCCCAACCGGAGAACATTAATGTTATATAGAGGATCCAACATAGTACTTTTTGGCTGCATTTGCCTTGATAGTTGTTTCAAGGACATTTCCTTCTATGTGTCCCAAATACAACGCACTCTTTTGGCAGTACTCTTGTTGTAATGTTTGGACCTTTCCAATCTGGAACCAATTTTCCTTCAGATGTTCCGAGTCTTTGTTTTATTTCCTTAAACTTATCTTCATTGCATTCAAATTCTTGATTCATTATTTCGAAGTCTGACAGCGTTTTAGGATCTGGGCATGAGGTCCGCAAGCGTGTCATGTTATTGAAATCTGCATTTAACGGAACTAAAAAGAGAATAAGAAAAACGACAAGATTAAGAAAAGAGACATTCCTGGACAATAAAATATTAATTTCATTTGATTTTTGATTTTCGATTTTTTGATTTTTTTTTTCCAGTTTTTTTAAGATAGAAGGGTTTACATCGGAAAGTAAGACAATAAAGTAAAACATTCGAATCACACCCTGAGATAATCCGGACGCAGAAAAGATAGCAAGACTGGCTACTAAGACTCCCGTCTGATGGGGAACTTTCATACTTGGCAACCATTTTTTGGCTTTTCTTCTGTCTCGGCAATGGCTGCAATGGCCTTCAGTGCCGGATCAAATTTCTCATCTTCAGAAATCATTCCGACTATTGGCCCCATTTTGTGGGCAGGCAACAGATTGTTCATCACATCAAGATCTTCTTCATCTTGAAAAACAATTCTTTTAGCTTCAATCAAATCTTCAACTGCCTTTTTGAGGGTCCAACAATCCTCTGTACATTGTCCCATTGCTCCAGAGTGGTATTCACATCTAGCGTCAGCTCGGTGCGTTGGGGAGTCAGGGTTTGGCCGGTTCGGGGCCACTGACTGCAATAGATCTAGATAGATTAGCTTTTGAAACAAGCTTGAATACGATTCACCAATAGGGGTGAACTAATTCTTTCTGAAAGGCTCTCTTTGGCGAGGATTGTACTGGGGAACATCTAGTTGGGGATTATATGGAGCTTGGTAAGGATGGGCATTTATGGGAGGTGGAGCTCGATTTTGTGTATGATGTTGTGGCCGCGTGTAAGGTTGTGCGTTCATCACCGCATAAGGAGGTGGTGCCACGGCATAAGCAGTATCTTGAAGAGGATAATAATGTTGAGGGACCTTAGGAAGCATATATGATCGGCTGAATGACCTGCGGGTCCCCCTCGGGCTCAAAACCATCATGGCTCCTTCTTCTCTCCCGTTTCCATTTATTAAATCCTCTGAACCATTTTGAACATCTGGTGATGTGGCTTTAAAAGCAGCATGACTCAAGATTCGACCCGTTTTTAGCCCATTTTCTACCATCTCCCCAATTTTGATAGCCTCAGCAAACGGCTTTCCCATAGCAGACATCATGTTCTGGAAGTAGTCAGCCTCTTGTGCCTGCAGAAAGACCGTGACCATTTCAGTTTCATCCATTGGAGGCTTTACTCTGGTAGCCTGCTCACGCCATTTGACAGCATATTCGCGGAAGCATTCCGCGGTTTTCTTTTTCAAATTGGACAAGGAGTTTCGGGAGCGATGTCCATATTATATTGGAACTGGCGGACAAAATCTCGAGCGATATCGTCCTACACATGCCAATGGGCAATTTCTTGATCCGTATACCACTCAGAAGCAATTCCGGAGAGGCTTTCCCCAAAATAGGCCATTAGCAGCTCCTTTTTTCCACCAGTACCTCTCAACTAGTTACAATATCGTTTTAGGTGAGCGATCGGATCTCCGTGCCCGTTGTACTTTTCAAATTTTGGCATCTTGAAGCCAGCTGGCAAGTGGACATGGGGAAACATACAGAGGAGAGGTCAGAGTATGAGACACTCTTTTGGCCACTCAGTCCTTGCATGTTTTTTAGGCTTTGTTCCAAGCTCTTCATCTTCCGAGCCATTTCCTCTTGCTCGGGATTTTTAACAACCTTTTCTTGCTCCACCGAGAGATCATATTGCGGAGGTTGAGTGAAAGAGTATGGGGTCACATATGTTATTTCTGATTGAAGCTGCGGACCCTGAAAGGTAAACATTGGAGGTTCAACATACGACCGTGGTAAAGTTAGTTGTGCTCTGGTGCAGACTGGTGCTGCAGAGAACAATATTGGAGGTGCCCTGGAAACTGGCGCCTGGGGGCGAACCACATAAGGCATGCCAGGAACATTGGACAGCATTGGAGGGTGCCCGCATGGGATGAGCGGGTTGGGCACAAGGGCGTTGATAACCTCACAAGACCTGGGGATTAATTCAGGAAACCCAGGAATTGCACTTGGCGGTTCCCTACCATTATACTAGGCATCCTACATTTCCAATATGCGGAGACGCAACATCTTATTCTCTTCAGCAGCTGCTGATTCTAGCTGCAGAATAGCCGATGTCGGGCTATCCTCAGGACCGATGATTGGTAGATTGCTTGCGGAAGCAATCTATGCCTTTGGATCTTGTGAAAGAGGGGAGGCTAGACTACCAACAAAACCAACCAACAAAACCTGGCTAGTTCGCACACCCAACAACCTTGTTAGTTTTGAGACGCTTAACAGATAGAAAATCGCACGTTGGATGCAATGCACCTAAACAGTTAAACGTTTCTACCATGTGTTTGAACGGTTGCATGTTTCATCCCGGCCTTAGTTAACCTTTTCAGTATGTACCCCTTTTTCTTTTTATTTCTGCCTCTCTTTAATCACTCTTGATTTTTTTCATCTCATTTTTGCCGCTCTTTTATTTTTTGTCACTCTCTTTTCTTTTCTTTTTTTTTGTTTTTGTTTTTGTCACTCTTTTATTTTTCTTTTTTTTTTCACTTTATTTTTCACTCAGTTAATTTTATGGCTATGATCGAATCCGATGAGGATTGCCTACTTATCATGGCGCCGTATGAATCAGATCTTGTGTAGTTCGAGAATATCGAAAATGGAGTAAATAAACTAAAAAAAAATTCGATTAGAATTTTTGAAAGAAATGCTTTAAAAAAAAGAAAGGAAATATTTTTTTTTGATTTTTTTATTTTGATTTTGTTTTGTTTTTGAAAGAAAGACTTCTAAAAATTCATTTGCTTTTGATTTGAACTTTGGGAATTTCAAAAGTAAAAATAAAATATTTTTATTTGAATTTTCATTTGTTTTCTTTTTTTCTAAAGAAGAAAGAAAATATTTTTTGGATTTTGGATGTTGCCTCTTAACTTTTGAAAGAGGGACTTTTAAGAAAATATTTTGGATGTCTGAATTTTTATTATTTTTTTTTAAAATTTACAAAAGTACTTCTAAATAAAAACAAAAATATTTTTGGGACTTCAATTTTTCAAATTTTTTTTGAAAGAGAGACTTTTAAACAAGGAAATGATTTTTTTTTAATTCATTTTTTTGGAATTTTTTGAGAAAAATACTTCAAAATAAAGGAAACCCGTATTTGGATTTTGATATTTTTATTTTACTTTTTTTCCATATGAAAGACTTCAAAAAGAAGGAAACTATTTTTTTGAGTTTAAAAAACTTCTTTTTTTTTTTGAATTTTCTAGGGAGAGATTTCTAAAGAAGGAACTAAAGGAAAATATTTTTGGATTTCTGAAAATTGGGGCCGGAATCGATGAGGTTTACCTACGTATCTCACATCTGATGAGAATCAGACCCGCGTAGTTCGGTCAGTTTTGACAGAACAAAGGAAATATGGCACTTGAAAATTTTGGCTTATTTTGAAATGACTTTTCTTTTTCAGAATTTCGGCAGAGTTTCAGAATTTTCTAGATACCTACCTCTCACCCTTTTTTTTTTATTTTTTTTTCTAGAAGCCGGTCAACACACAAACCGAAACAAACAGATGCGCAAGTAGCACGTAAGATGCATTAGGATGATCTTTTTTAATTTGGGTACACCTGTCCTAGACGGACCAAACCCCTGTGTTGAGTCCCCAAAGTCAAATGCACATGATGCAAACAAATGTTCCTACTAGGGATCCGGCATGAGGCTGAGTTATTATGGGTTTAAAACCTGGGCATATTGTTCTAGACTTGGTGTACCCGAGTGGACAACTCGAGCCGGGGGGGGCTACGTACCAGGAACCAAAATGTCATCCGGCTTTGTAACTTGTCCGAGCCTCTTTCTAATTTAAGGTGTGACACTAACAAAAAAGGAGTCACGCCAGCGTGCACATCCCCAAAGATGAGAAGAGAAGGGTTTCGTAACAGTTTATATACAGTTCAAATAATATCAAAGCGGTAAAAAGCGACATTTAGCACATTAGGCCCAAACATACAATAAAAATCATATAATAAATAAAAGCCAATTATAACAGTTATTCTAAGCTCGAATTCTTGAACCCTGAACAAAAGTTCTGGGTTATGATCTTCAGCAGAGTCACCAGAGCTGTCACACCTTCTTTTTACCCGAGGGGGACATAAGGGATTTTTTCCAATTAAAGTGACATAAATCGAAATGGAATTATTTATTTATTCAGAGTCACCATTTGGAATAATGAATGGTGTCCCAAGTCACCAGTTTATTTTAAAATCCCAAATCGAGGAAATTGACTCTATTTTTACGGTCTGCGAACACAGAAGATCGGGTAAGGAATTCTGTTAACCCCGGAGAAGATGTGAGGCACTCCCGAGTACCGTGGTTTTAGCACGGTCGCTCAATTGTTAATAATTGGCATAATTATCTGATTATTATGTATTTAAAACCTATTGTGCATTTTTAACTTTCTAGCCGCTTTTAATTATTTAAAACCACTTTTTAGGATTTATGGAATTATTTCTTGAACAAGTTATGATTGTCGTACACTTGTCGTTTTTGAACATACCGCAAACCACGCTACATGAAATGCACCCGCGATTCACGACATGTTTATTTATTATTATTATCCAAAGTTGTTGTGGTCGGATCACATGAAATGCACACCCGAATTTGGAAATTAATCATCGTAACTATGTCACGAGAACCGTACCATAATCACAATGGTTTATTAATCGCGCCTAAAGCAACACTACGAGGTTCATAAGTGTTTTCTACACTAGTTTTGTATTTATGTGAGGGCCATAGATTATAGGATTCATCTATAGATGGCACGCCTCAATTTATTTTAAAAGGTTTGTATTCAACTAAAGCGAACTACTGATGCTCATGATTATTTTTTTCTATGTTTGGGATTTTCCATACAATTTTCTCTTTTAATCACAAGTAGTAGCCTCTCAAATACAAAAATGGTCTACTGAAAGTGCTCAATACGAAATAACAACTTTGCTTCTTTCCTTGACCCAAACTATCAAAATTTAATGTGAAATTAGAAAGGGGGAGAAGCTGCATTCTTTTGGGGAAATCACTGTTCTAATTTAGACAAAATAAATTGCTCTCCTTCCTACAAAGAAAGCCAAAGGCAGAAGGGACAAAGGACTGATGAATGGTGCAACATTTCTTGAAATTTAAGGACCGCTACCTACAATTCCTCCACCTAACACAAACAACATATTGCTTCATACAACCTTAATATCAATTCCATTTAACATGATTATAAAAAAATTAGTAACTACTTTTAATACTTATAATAACCAAGTATTTTCAACAACTTAAATGGGGTCTTGAAATTACAATGATACTAACTAATGAATTATAAACTAAAACCAACGGCCTTAAATGCTTCCCTACCATACATGACTTAGCCGACATTCAGGAAGAAAAGAAAATTTGTTCAATGGAAACTTAAACAAATTATTATATAGGAATAAAAGATAATATGTGAGGAAAACCATTTATGAGCGACAATTAAGTTGACAAAGTTAAAACCCACTATTCAAATCATCTGCACCTTTTAGAGAGCATTTCACAAAACATACATCATGAACCACACATAGACACATCTGAATTTCATAGAAGAATAAAGAAGATGGATTAAAATAAAAATCCTACAAGTTCATAGAGGTATGTACCTAAATTCTTGGGCAGCAGTACTCCAAAAAAGCAACCAAATGAAAGCAAAAATGAAGGATGGAGATCAACAGAAACATCACAGCAAACAACAGTCCTATGGCTCGAAATCCTTTGAAACCCCAAATACAATCAACCAAGCATGCTGAAATTTCAAAACAACTTTGTCTTTTCCCCTTTTCTTGTTTTTCTCTTTTGACAGCAAAGACGGAATACGAGTGAGAAGTCATATAATGATGAATCCTAAAGCACTCGGAATTAAAGAAAAATTTCGAGGTTGGAAGAAATATGGGTGATTTTATACATAAGATTTTTTGGTGTGAGAGCTTCTCGATTTGCCTAGAAAGAATTAGGCAGAAGTGCCAATGCCATAAAAGGACGAGGCAACATTTTTTCTTTTCCCAATTTGTGTTGGTTTTCCTTAGGAAGGGAAGGGAAGGTCTGATTTCTGTGTGTGAAGGCGAGAACCAAGAAGAAAATGGGAGGGAAGGTTCTGATCTTTTTCTTGGAGTAAACGGTGCTCCTCTAAGAAAAGTTCTATGATTTTTGTTAGGTCTAGATCCGTAGGTTTTAATGAGACGGGGTCTTGGGCTGGTTCGGGTCGCGGGCTGGGGGTGGAGTTTGGTTTGGACTCGTTGATTAAAAACAAGACCAAATCAAAACCCTTTCTTTCTCTTCCTTGATTTTTGCAATGTTAGCCATTTTAGACTCTAATTTAGTTTAATCTAATTTTTTATATAGCTAGCCTATTCATTTATTTTGCCTAATGATGAATTAATGTAACTAATTAATTAATTAACATAAGAATGCAATTTTTGATTTTTATTTATTTAAATGATGCACTTAGCAATGTAATTAATTCCTAAATGCAAATTAAACCTAAGATGACATGAAATAAAAATGTGATAATTTTTTTATAATTTTTCTATGATTTTTTAAAATATAAAAACTGCATGAAATGCAACTAAATAAAGAAAAACTCCTAAAAATCAATTAAAATTATTTTTGGTCTATTTTTAGGAGATATTTTCATGTAGGGCAAAAATTAGGTGCTCACAGTTATTTCTTTCTCCGATAACCTAAAGTAATATGGGTTATCACCTAACTCCGTAGGGACGGATCTCAATTCAAATGCAAGAGGGGTATAATAACATCCCTCATAAATTATCCAATCATCATGTCCAATGTTCCTTAACTGTATCTGACCCGCACGCTTACCCTTAGTGCCAAAATCCTTAGTCCAAATCACGTATCCATTATTAAAATTGTACACATATGCTCAAGAATTAGAGATGGGAGGTGCACAAGGACTTAATAAATATCGTACAGATAAGTTCTCATGAAATCTCTATGTGACTAAAGAAAATTATGCATTTCAAAATATCAAGAATAAGTTTTCAAGCCTTCATAATGAATCATAAGCCTAGGCATCATTTCTAACATGAATAAAAGAGAAACATAGTCACATAGTTTAAACAAATCATGAATCAAATGAGTACTTAATCAAACAAAGCATGAAATATTTTAATTTCTACCTCGGGTAATGATATAAACTTGGTAATTGCATATGTGCTCACCACCATATTACCTATAATACCTTAAACACATAACAAATAAGTCAAATCCTAGGGGATTCCTTCTTAACAAGATTAGCTAAGAGACTTACCTCCACCCGGTAGCCTTTAATCTCCCAAAATAAACTTTCTTCTCAAATTAACCGTTGAACGAGCCGAATCTAATCAAATACAATTCAACAACATCAAACAAGGCCATAGAAACCGAACCCAAATAATAAAGATTGAATCTTTAATCAATTACATAAAGTCAACCTCGCCTTGCCTTCCAAAACCCGATCAAATTTACAAATCTCTAATATCCATTCCAATATGAGTCAAAATACACAAGTTTCATCCAAAATCGACTCCAAATCAGGGTTCAAATCTCATTATTTTATTTTCCAATAATCCTTACATAACCCCAATTTCTCCCTTAGGTTTCATCAACCAAAGGACAAAATAAAGGATGGAATCATGAAATAAAATTAAATCTAAGTCAATAACACTTACCCCAATCTACGCGGCGAAAATCTCCTCAAAAATCGCCCACGTCCGAGCTCCCAATCTCAATATATGATAAGATAAGTCAAACCCTCGAAAATATATGACATGCCCAGCGATTCTGCTTTTGCGGAAAAAATCTCTTTATGCGACACTGCATCTGCGACACTGCATCTGCGACACATTCCTCGCAAAAGCTAAATTCCACTTAAGTTCCATATGCTTGCTTATGTGGACAAATTCTGCTTGTGTGGAGCCGCTTCTGCGGTACAAGTTGTGCATCTGCGTGTTCGCTTCTATGATCAACCTCCGCATCTACGGACTCTTCCTGACCCAGCCTTCCTCCGCACCCATGACCCACTATTTTCATCAACGGAATCGCACCTGTGGACCCAACCACGCAGGTGCGGAAACACCAGAACAGAAATGCCTACTGTTTACCATGAAAATGGTAATAACAATTAAATTTAATTTAGTGGTTCTAAAAATACGTGATCTATTTTTATGCTAGTTTTTAGGCAGTTGATGCTATGTGAAAGACTTAGAACCGAGATAAGAGCTTGAGAGTAAGGTGGTAACCAAACTGAATGATCCATAATCGGGACCTCGAGCTTGCCTATTCGAGGGTCTCTGGGTCGAGTCTGAAGCTCGACTGTGAACTATCGAAGGTGATCGATGGAGACTAACAGTTACAAATAAATCAATGACGGCTCTTTATGGCCAATAATAAGCAATAAATGAAGAACAATAAAAAGAACACAATAAATATGATTAATAAATGAGATAGCGAGATCAAGAGAATGTGTTAGAGAGTAGATAGAATGTTCTTGTGCATTTAGTATGGAGCAACAGATATTTACAAAGTGACAAGGGTCCCCCTTATATATGAGGGGGAATCCCAACATAGTACAAGTGCATTTATTACAAAGATATGGGGATGGGATATCTAGTTGATGCCATGATTCGGGTCTGAACTTAGCTCACTAGACTTTGTCGGCCCTAGTTGTGCACCTTTGGAACTCCCCACTTTTCCATCATAGTCATTAGTCTGCATCGCCCCGAGGTCGAGCATCGACAGCCCTCGAGGATGAACCTCGACCCTAGTCTCGAACCTTGTGAAATGTGCTTACGAGGCATCATAATGATGGAAAGTCGGACCCTTTGATTTTACCGTATACAGATAGTCCCTGCGTTTCTTAGAGTGAAAGTGATAAGAAACGACCTTGAATTCCTGCCCCTCTGGTACTTCCGTAGTGACGACAGTCATAAGGTGCCAAAAAGATGACGTACACACAGCCCCTGAAAGCCTTCGCATTGATTACGACGTTTGGTTGTCCCTTGGCCTCCTTCAGCATGCATGTGGGGCCTCTATAAATATTTCTCTTCTCGTTCTTTACAACTCACTGCACCACCAAGCCCCAAAATGGTTCCTTCTACCTTTACTTTTGTTCTTTCTACGAAACGCAACTTCCCTTTCTCTTCTAGAATCTTTTAGGAATGGCGAAAACATTCGCCTTTACTTCTCAGGAGAGCGTGACCTCCTCCTCTTCGCTTCCATCTAAAGGCAAAGCGTTAATGCCTCCTCATGCTGAGGAATGCGTTCCAGAATTTTTTGCAACGACTTCCGATTTCAAGGTCGAGAGACCTTCTTCGAAGCCTGGGCACTGTGAGCCTGTGTCTCAGTATGTTATCTCGGTATCAGACATCGAAAGGGTAAGGAATGATTGCCGTTGGGAGGACACGGTGCTTGTGGAGATCCCTACTCGGGAGGAGGATATAACGACGTACAAAGCTAATTTCCTCAATGTGTATACTTACCCATTTACCCTTGGGCTGGTAGGGCCATCCTTACCTCTGATAGACCTCGTGATTCTCGACTTCTGCCAATGGTATCAAGTGACCCTCGTCCAAATTCACCCTTCATTCTGGCACATTATCTACATGATCATGTACTATGTGAACATGACTGAGGAGATGCCCTTCACCCTCGATCACCTGATCAGGATGTACAGCCCCTGCCTCTTCCGTGGGGGTCTGATTAAGCTCCACTGCCGAGCTCCAAGGGACCTCTTTGCTTGTATCAAAAAAGTTGGGAACAGAGGGTGGATAAGCCGCTTTGTCCGAGTAAGGACTTCAGACCTGATCCTAGTGGAAAGGATGTCGTTCCCCAAAATGTGGAATATAGAATGTAAGTAGATACACTATGTAGCATTTCCTTGTTTCTTTTTAGGTACATCTTTCCATGTGCTTAATTTTCTCCGCTGATGCAGCCATGGAAATTTATCCCGGCGCGGTCACGGACCTCTTAGGTTGGGTTGGTAGGCTGGACTTAATTTGCCTGTACTCCGAGCGAGTGTGGCGTGACTTGTCTCGAGCTTGATGGGAAGCTAAGGACCATGGTGAGCTTTCGCCCCTATTGCAGTCGTACCCTTCAACCTGAATCGCTACTGATAGCGCTCTCACTCCATGTGCTTACCTCTTTCATTTGTGTAGGTCTAGGGGAGATCCCCTTGATGAAGGGAACATTGCTTGGTGAAGAGAGTACTTTGGGACCCGATGAAGGGAAGAAAAGGCAAAGGGAACCGTCGAATGAACCTTCAAAATCCAAGAAGATCAAGATGGAAGAAACTAAGTCCGACCCGGTAGCCCCAACTCTGGGAGCAGCTGGAAGTCCCCGAGTTGAAGGCGAGGGGGAAAATAATTTCTTGATAGCTCCCGATGTCACACCTCCTCTTTCCGCCCCCGGCGAGGGTGCGAGGGAGTTTTCTCCAATTAAAGGACAGTCGAAACAGGATTTGTTTGTTTATTTCAGAGTCGCCACCTGGGAATTTTATGGCGTCCCAAGTCACCGGTTTTAATCCCTGAATCAAGGAGAATATGACTCTGTTTGTTATTCTGCGAACCAGAAATCCGAGTAAGGAATTCTGTTAATTCGGGAGAAGGTGTTAAGCATTCCCGAATTCCGTGATTCTAGCACGGTTGCTTAACCATTTTTATATTTGGCTTAATTATCTTGATTTACTAAATACATTTTTTTATTACACGAATTTATTACCGCTTTTGTTTAGATGGTTTGCACTTGTAGAATTTTCTTGAAACGAATCACGCGTACATATATTCGTATTATATGCCTTTTATAATTGTAGAGAATCGTGCCACGCATACATGTACACAAAAAGATTGATAATATTATTTTTTGTTTATTTTTATTATAAAAAATAGACTTATATTCGAAATTGTGCAAGAAATAAAATTAAAAATCGTTCGTCGCTCTTGTATGATTAAATAGTGAACTGCACATCTCGGGTTATATGAAATTAATTTGATATTCTCCGAAGAACCCCTTTTTTATTAAATGTTCTCTCGAAGTTGCGCGAACGCATAATTCGAATTTTTTTTAGAAATATAATCAGGTCACGCGAACATATCCCTAATCATACAAAATATTCTTGATGGTAGTATAAATTT